TGGAGACCTGGGCTGCTCTCCCTGATTCCTAGGCTCCCTCCCCTGGGTGTCTTCCCCTAGTGCCAGCCTGGTCAGCCCCTAATATCAGCCCCGCGTGGGCCGAAATTGTGGGCGATGGCGGTGACGATGCTGCAGGACTGGTGCAGGTGGATGGGCGTCAACGCTCGCAGGGGCCTGCTCATCCTGGGCATCCCGGAGGACTGTGATGAAGCTGAATTCCAAGAGTCCTTGGAGGCTGCCCTGTGGCCTATGGGCCACTTTACCGTACTGGGCAAAGTGTTTCGCGAGGAGGATAACGCCACTGCGGCCCTGGTCGAGCTCGACCGGGAAGTCAACTATGCTTTGGTCCCTAGGGAAATCCCAGGCACCGGGGGCCCCTGGAACGTGGTCTTTGTGCCCCGTTGCTCAGGCGAGGAGTTTCTCGGTCGCGTGCTCCACTTCCTGGAGCAACAGGGGCAGACAGTGGAAAGCGTGGCCGGTGCCCTGGGTCTGGGGCTGCGCAGGGTGTGCTGGCTCCGATCTGTCAGTCAGGCGATCCAGCCCTGGGTGGAAACCGTGAGGTACCAGCGCCTGGGCGTGTTTTCCGGGAGGGACCAGCCAGCCCCTGGGGAGGAGTCCTTTGAGGCCTGGCTAGACCACACCACTGACATGCTGCATGTGTGGCAGGGGGTCTCTGAAAGGGAGAGGAGGAGGAGGCTGATCGAAGGCTTGAGAGGGACTGCCCTGCAGCTCGTGCATGGGCTCCTGGCGGAGAATCCCGCCAGGACTGCGCAGGACTGCCTGGCGGCCCTGATCCAGGTGTTTGGAGACAACGAGTCCCAGGCCACCATCCGGGTGAAGTGTTTGACTGCTCAGCAGCGGTCAGGCGAGCGTCTCTCCACCTTTGTGTTGCGGCTGGAAGTCCTGTTGCAGAAAGCCATCGAGAAGGGGGCCCTGGCCAGGGCCTCCGCTGACCACGTGCGCCTGAGGCAGGTGCTCACCAGGGCCAACCTGATCGAGCCTCTGGGTGAAGCCCTGAGGAAGCTGAGCATGGTTGGGAGGTCTCCCACATTCCTGGAAATGCTGGGGCTAGTTCGCGAGTCTGAGGCATGGGAGGCCAGTCTAGCCCGGAGCGTGAGGGCCCCGGCAGAGGAAGGGGCTGGTGCCCCCGCTGATGCCCAGGCGGATGCCAGGGCCAATGCTAATGCAGAGGATGAGAAGGTGGAGAAGGAAGAAGAGGAGGTGGACCAACAGCAGCAGGAAGAGGTGGTGGTGGAGGAGGAGCAGGAGGAGGAGCAGGAGGAGGAGGAGGGGCAAAGGGAAGACCAAGGCAATGATCATGCTCCTGCGGGCCCAGGCCAGGCAGGACCCACTGAGGCCCCAGGAGGCCCCGCCCCAGCTCAGATGGGCAGTGCTTCTGATGCCAGCCCAGGAGGGCCTGGTTGTGGGCCAGAGAGCCTGGCCCAGGCAGAAGAGCAGGAAGCTGAGGAGCCCGTGCTGGAGGGGCTCAAGGACATCCCAGAGGAGTCAGGAAATGAGGATGGGGCTGGGGAGACTGGCCACCCCGAGTCTGCCCCAGGTGAATAGGCTCAGAAGGCCCAGGGGCTCCTCTCCTCTCAGGCAGCAGAACCTTGGAGGGAGGGGCAGGACTCGCGCCAGGGCCTACCCTCACCCCACATCAGGAGCAGGGCCCAGGGAAGGGCTCACCCAGCCCAAACCAAGCCCCTGGATCCCCCCAGCTCCCCAAAGGGGCCCTGGCCACCACCACCACCAGACTTTTCCAGTGACCCCAAAGACCATATTTGCCACCAGATGGAGCCAGGAGAGGTGCCCCTCCTCATGGAAGCCCCAACCCCAAACCCAAACCCTGCCAGTCTAGGGCTGCAGGCCTAGAAGTGGGGGGATGGGCTGAGGTCACCTGCCACCTGCACTGGACTGGGAGACGTCGGGGAAGAGAGTCCATCTCAAGGGTGCCAGCTGCCTGGCTCTCCCAGCAGGCAAAACCCCAACCCGATTCACGGTCCCCGGGACAGGGTGCGACCGTCCCTGTCCCTGGAAGCCCGCCTTATCTGTAAGCCCCATAGTGACCCACCTCAAGCAAACGCCCACCCCCACGCTAGCCATCGTTCCTGTGCAAAGCCGTGAGGTGTGTGTCAACCCCGGGCAGAGGACCGCGCCCTCGCGGCCGGCCACCTCCAGGCCCGGGCACGTGCCGTGAGCTTCCGGGCGAGCCAAGGCTCTGCTCGCTCCTGTCCAGTGTCGTGAGCTCAACCTCTGCTTTCTCGGTGTAGATCTAGGCCAGCTGCCTGCCGCTTGTTCTCGTGGAGATGTGTGTGTGTTCTTATCTGAGCAGCTCCTCCCAGGAGGCCCTGAGCCCAGTCCCCAGGAGTCGGAGACGGGAGCCGGCGGGAAGGATGGACACGGCGAGGGCGTGGTGGACGCTCACCCCCTCGGTGATCAAGACCGCGGCCTCCCCTCGGGCAGGAAGCACTGGACCTTAGATGGAGGGGGAGGGCCAGGGACTGTGCTTTGACGTTCCACCCCGTTGTTCCTTGTGACTCAGTTTCCTTGGCTGGGGGGGGGGGTGTTCCCTGTTATGCTTTCCAGTGTCCTGTGACCCTTCTGTGCCAGCCATAGGGCAAGGGCCACCCCACAGCAAGTCAGCCCCTCAGGGTGCTCCCGGAATGGAAGTGAGTGTTCATTGCCAGAGGCCATTGTCCTGGCAAGAGGCACATCTGGGTCCTCAGAAAGGGAGGCTGTGGTGGGAGGGCCCCAGCGTGGAGACAGAGGAGGCTCCTCCTCTGCAGCCCCAGGAGGGGGGGCGGGCCGACCTGTGGCCTCCAGTGGTTGTGAAGAGTCCCTTTAGGTGTTGTCATCCCTTCTCTTCAATGGTTCATTGTTTCTGTTTAATAAATTTTGTGAAATGTTCCAGCTTATTCTATCATGGTGAGGGAAATTGGGAGAGGAATGTTGGTTGGAGATGGGACAGGGTAGAGTAGGGGGGGACAGTGGTGGCTGGGTTAAAATGCTGGGTGCATTCAGGCAAGGTCCATGATGAGCTGTTGTGATTTCAGCTGGCCAGTGGGCAACAGGATACTGTTAGTTGTGGGTGGGCACTGTCTTTCTGGCTCCCCAGAGCACTTGGGAATAAGCGGGTTAGGCATTGAAGGGAGGGCACAGGACCACAGGATTCCCAGCAGTGCACGGGGGTGGAGGGGTGGGAATCGGGGCATCCAGCCAGGTCAGACAGGCCACGTGTGTGCTCCCGGGCTAGCAGACAAGGTCAGGGAAGGGCCCTGGCATGAGGTCAGATGTCCCCGCCAGGAGCTGTGTGGTGGTAGCTCAAAGATACAGTGCTCGCCTAGCATGCATGAGGCACCGGGTTCGATCGTCAGCATCACATAAATGTAAATAAAGATATTGTGTAAACCTAAAACTAAAAAATAAATTAAAAAAATTAAATCATATTTTATATTAGAACATTTCTGTCAATAACCAATGGTATGTAAGAAGGTATTCCCATAATATTACAATTCAGCTAAAAAATTTGTGTCATGTAGTAATTTTGGAGCCATGGTTTTGTAACCCTAGAGTTTGTGGCAATGCCTGTGTTTGTAAGCCTTATCTGCTGCCAGTTTCATAAAGTATAACACATGAAAATATGTATAGGACATAATGATTGATAATGATAATAAATATCTCTGACTGATTTTTGTATTTACTGTATATTTTATCATTTAATGCATATTCCATATGCATTTGTGTGTATCATTGTAATGTAAAAGCACACATCTCTTATTTACTGTGTCTGTTGATTGCACCATTTTCTCCTGTGCTTGAGATAATCTGTTGTTTTATTCATCATGGCCACTGATAATAGAAAATCCTCTGTAATGTTATCAGTAAGGGGCTATATTGGTGGTTGATAGGGAAATGAAAGAGAACACAACATAGGACTGATGTGACACATCAGTGATGGTTATTTCTCTCAAATCATGTCCAATTTCACCATAGCTATCATCTTGAAGGACAAGAACAAAGTAATGGAAACGGTTAAAAAAAAAAAACAAACCTACATTATTGAAGCCCAAAGGATAACAAAAATTCAGGAAGGATGTATATCTGATATGAAGAAACTTCTAAAGATCAGAATATTCCTTGCAGCCCCATGAGGATCATGGCCACAGCAAATATTTCATCTTATATGTCTAAAGGGTGGACTCCACTATGATGGTGAGCATAAAGCAAGCTTCAGGTGGTTTAAACAGCTCTAGAGTCATTGTTCATTACATAACGTGAAAGTGAGCACTGAGTCTGCACAGGGTTACATGAAGGCAGCTGAATGATTATCAAAAACGCTAAATAAGATGCTTGTGGATGAAAATCAGTTGTCTGAGCAGATCTTCAATGAAAATGAAACTTCACTATTGTGAAAACAGATGCCTAAAAGAACTTTATCTATATGAAGCCACATTACCAATGCTCTACAGTAGCAAGATGGCATGCATGATGCAACTCATCATGCAAGATGCCTTTCTCACTTGCCATGCCAGTGAAATGGAGAAGTAGCATTTGGAGAATGATATGCCTTTTGAGATTGTGCTTATTGTTGTTAACACTCCACATATTCCCATGCAATTTTGGAAGAATTGAAACTCCTATGTCTGCATCGAAAACATGGCTTGGGTTACTCATGGCCTTGCTAAAACACATAGGGTAGATATGCCAGGCACACCACAGTGCCTCCAAAAGGCAGGTAGAGGATAGTGCAGCTGTGGCTATGCTCTGTTCCTGCAAGATGCTCCAATGTGACATGGTCTGAGACCCAGATACAAAGGAAAAGCAGGTGGGGTGGGTTAGAAAATGTCACCCCTGCCCTCCTGTCTTGTACACAGCTCCTGCTGGGGACATCTGACCTCATGCCAGGGCCCTTCTACGGCCCTTCCCTGACCTTGTCTGCTAGCCCGGGAGCACACACGTGGCCTGTCTGACCTGGCTGGATGCCCCGATTCCCACCCCTCCACCCCCGTGCACTGCTGGGAATCCTGTGGTCCTGTGCCCTCCCTTCAATGCCTAACCCGCTTATTCCCAAGTGCTCTGGGGAGCCAGAAAGACAGTGCCCACCCACAACTAACAGTATCCTGTTGCCCACTGGCCAGCTGAAATCACAACAGCTCATCATGGACCTTGCCTGAATGCACCCAGCATTTTAACCCAGCCACCACTGTCCCCCCCTACTCTACCCTGTCCCATCTCCAACCAACATTCCTCTCCCAATTTCCCTCACCATGATAGAATAAGCTGGAACATTTCACAAAATTTATTAAACAGAAACAATGAACCATTGAAGAGAAGGGATGACAACACCTAAAGGGACTCTTCACAACCACTGGAGGCCACAGGTCAGCCCGCCCCCCCTCCTGGGGCTGCAGAGGAGGAGCCTCCTCTGTCTCCACGCTGGGGCCCTCCCACCACAGCCTCCCTTTCTGAGGACCCAGATGTGCCTCTTGCCAGGACAATGGCCTCTGGCAATGAACACTCACTTCCATTCCGGGAGCACCCTGAGGGGCTGACTTGCTGTGGGGTGGCCCTTGCCCTATGGCTGGCACAGAAGGGTCACAGGACACTGGAAAGCATAACAGGGAACACCCCCCCCCCCCAGCCAAGGAAACTGAGTCACAAGGAACAACGGGGTGGAACGTCAAAGCACAGTCCCTGGCCCTCCCCCTCCATCTAAGGTCCAGTGCTTCCTGCCCGAGGGGAGGCCGCGGTCTTGATCACCGAGGGGGTGAGCGTCCACCACGCCCTCGCCGTGTCCATCCTTCCCGCCGGCTCCCGTCTCCGACTCCTGGGGACTGGGCTCAGGGCCTCCTGGGAGGAGCTGCTCAGATAAGAACACACACACATCTCCACGAGAACAAGCGGCAGGCAGCTGGCCTAGATCTACACCGAGAAAGCAGAGGTTGAGCTCACGACACTGGACAGGAGCGAGCAGAGCCTTGGCTCGCCCGGAAGCTCACGGCACGTGCCCGGGCCTGGAGGTGGCCGGCCGCGAGGGCGCGGTCCTCTGCCCGGGGTTGACACACACCTCACGGCTTTGCACAGGAACGATGGCTAGCGTGGGGGTGGGCGTTTGCTTGAGGTGGGTCACTATGGGGCTTACAGATAAGGCGGGCTTCCAGGGACAGGGACGGTCGCACCCTGTCCCGGGGACCGTGAATCGGGTTGGGGTTTTGCCTGCTGGGAGAGCCAGGCAGCTGGCACCCTTGAGATGGACTCTCTTCCCCGACGTCTCCCAGTCCAGTGCAGGTGGCAGGTGACCTCAGCCCATCCCCCCACTTCTAGGCCTGCAGCCCTAGACTGGCAGGGTTTGGGTTTGGGGTTGGGGCTTCCATGAGGAGGGGCACCTCTCCTGGCTCCATCTGGTGGCAAATATGGTCTTTGGGGTCACTGGAAAAGTCTGGTGGTGGTGGTGGCCAGGGCCCCTTTGGGGAGCTGGGGGGATCCAGGGGCTTGGTTTGGGCTGGGTGAGCCCTTCCCTGGGCCCTGCTCCTGATGTGGGGTGAGGGTAGGCCCTGGCGCGAGTCCTGCCCCTCCCTCCAAGGTTCTGCTGCCTGAGAGGAGAGGAGCCCCTGGGCCTTCTGAGCCTATTCACCTGGGGCAGACTCGGGGTGGCCAGTCTCCCCAGCCCCATCCTCATTTCCTGACTCCTCTGGGATGTCCTTGAGCCCCTCCAGCACGGGCTCCTCAGCTTCCTGCTCTTCTGCCTGGGCCAGGCTCTCTGGCCCACAACCAGGCCCTCCTGGGCTGGCATCAGAAGCACTGCCCATCTGAGCTGGGGCGGGGCCTCCTGGGGCCTCAGTGGGTCCTGCCTGGCCTGGGCCCGCAGGAGCATGATCATTGCCTTGGTCTTCCCTTTGCCCCTCCTCCTCCTCCTGCTCCTCCTCCTGCTCCTCCTCCACCACCACCTCTTCCTGCTGCTGTTGGTCCACCTCCTCTTCTTCCTTCTCCACCTTCTCATCCTCTGCATTAGCATTGGCCCTGGCATCCGCCTGGGCATCAGCGGGGGCACCAGCCCCTTCCTCTGCCGGGGCCCTCACGCTCCGGGCTAGACTGGCCTCCCATGCCTCAGACTCGCGAACTAGCCCCAGCATTTCCAGGAATGTGGGAGACCTCCCAACCATGCTCAGCTTCCTCAGGGCTTCACCCAGAGGCTCGATCAGGTTGGCCCTGGTGAGCACCTGCCTCAGGCGCACGTGGTCAGCGGAGGCCCTGGCCAGGGCCCCCTTCTCGATGGCTTTCTGCAACAGGACTTCCAGCCGCAACACAAAGGTGGAGAGACGCTCGCCTGACCGCTGCTGAGCAGTCAAACACTTCACCCGGATGGTGGCCTGGGACTCGTTGTCTCCAAACACCTGGATCAGGGCCGCCAGGCAGTCCTGCGCAGTCCTGGCGGGATTCTCCGCCAGGAGCCCATGCACGAGCTGCAGGGCAGTCCCTCTCAAGCCTTCGATCAGCCTCCTCCTCCTCTCCCTTTCAGAGACCCCCTGCCACACATGCAGCATGTCAGTGGTGTGGTCTAGCCAGGCCTCAAAGGACTCCTCCCCAGGGGCTGGCTGGTCCCTCCCGGAAAACACGCCCAGGCGCTGGTACCTCACGGTTTCCACCCAGGGCTGGATCGCCTGACTGACAGATCGGAGCCAGCACACCCTGCGCAGCCCCAGACCCAGGGCACCGGCCACGCTTTCCACTGTCTGCCCCTGTTGCTCCAGGAAGTGGAGCACGCGACCGAGAAACTCCTCGCCTGAGCAACGGGGCACAAAGACCACGTTCCAGGGGCCCCCGGTGCCTGGGATTTCCCTAGGGACCAAAGCATAGTTGACTTCCCGGTCGAGCTCGACCAGGGCCGCAGTGGCGTTATCCTCCTCGCGAAACACTTTGCCCAGTACGGTAAAGTGGCCCATAGGCCACAGGGCAGCCTCCAAGGACTCTTGGAATTCAGCTTCATCACAGTCCTCCGGGATGCCCAGGATGAGCAGGCCCCTGCGAGCGTTGACGCCCATCCACCTGCACCAGTCCTGCAGCATCGTCACCGCCATCGCCCACAATTTCGGCCCACGCGGGGCTGATATTAGGGGCTGACCAGGCTGGCACTAGGGGAAGACACCCAGGGGAGGGAGCCTAGGAATCAGGGAGAGCAGCCCAGGTCTCCACAACCTGTGAATGCGAACGGGGCGACAGCGAGGTTAATGCCCAACCCCCCACTCCCACCCCAGCCGCCCCTCGTGCCCCGACCCCCGCCCCACCCCGCGAGGGTTCCCGCGGGCCACAGCACCCTCCCACGCCGCCCCCCGCCCCGCGGGCTGCTGTGGCTGGGCCGGCGCGGGCGGAGGGCCGCGGGGTCTCCCTGGCCCGAGCGGCCCCTCCCGGGGTACGGTACCTCCTGCTGGGGCGGGCTCCTCCGGGCTGAGCAGAGCGGCGGCGGCGGCGGCGGGGTCGGTCGCCCCTGGTTCCCTCGCCCTGTCGCTGGCTCTGCGTCCAGTTCTCGCTCTCCCGGCGCGGCACGTGGGCCAGTGCGCCGGCGCCTGCTCGCCACCGCTCTCTGCAGTGCGGACGCGGGGCGGGGGCGCGGTGGCGGTGGAGCGCGGACCCTCCGCGTAGCCCCGGAGACCGCCGGGCCATTGGCGCGCACGGGTCACGCGGCCGGGCTGTCGCCGCCGCCGCCGCCGCCGCGGGCACCCAGGGACCGCGGGTGACGTCACCTGCTCCTCCTCCCTCCCCCGCCTCCGCCCTGGCACAGGTGGAGCCCCCCCCCCCCCCGGGGAGGGGGTGTCTGGGTGTCGGTGTCTGGAGACCCCACGCCTTTGGCTCTCCCCACCCGGTCCCGAGTCCGTCTGGGTCCAGCCCTGTCCCCTGCTCCTCCTGGATGTGCCCTCGGGGCGCCAGCACGGCGAGGGGGCTGCGCCCAAGGTGTCCTCTAGGAAGCGGCCTGGGGTGGGCCCACCAGCTCTGCGTTCTGGCCAGGGGTGGGGAGCAGGCTCTCTGGGGCTTCTTTGCCTGCAGTCCTTGATTCCATCCCCACCCAGGATAGGATTGTTCTGGTCTCTGGGCCAGGCCAGGGCACCGGGTCCAGGTGTGATTCCATGAAGTAGATACGTGCGGGAATGTGTGCTCACCATGCCACCCCGCCGAGGGTCCACCATCTATCTGGCACTGCCCATCCCACTGGAGCACGATGGGTATACCACAGGCCTATGTGCTTCACTGCCCTCGCATAGGAGGGTGACCTAGCTCCTGGGTTTGCCCAGGCCTTTCCTGCTGTGCCGGCTGCAAGACCCAAGACCCAAGGCTCAAGAACCAGTTTCTGCGGCTTTGAACCAGTTTCTTCTCCTTGGGCCTGTATTATCTTACTGCCTGTCCTTTGGCGAGTCCCTGCCTCTTCTTGTCAGAGACATAACCGGGGTGTCTGGGGCCTCTGCCTAAGTGTGTGTAAGGAGAGGCATTCAGCTGGGAGGAGGGTGCTCAAGTCCCCACCCCCCCTCCACAGCTTGATGAGCTTGGGGTGAGGGGGCGTTGCTCTCTGTTTTAGTCAGGTTTTTCGCTGCTGTGACTAAAGGACTCGATCAGAACAAGTGTAAGGCAGTTAAAGTTTATTTGGGGGCCCTTCATGGTTTCAGAGGTCTCAGCTATGGACAGCCGGGTCCAATCCTTGGGGCTCAAGGTGAGGTAGGACATCATGGCAGAAGAGAGTGGGAGAGGGAAGCAGCTCACATGGTGATCAGGAAGCGGAGAGAGAGAGACACCACTCTCCAGACACAAAATATATATACCCCATAGCTATGCCTCAATTCCCGCCTCCTCCAGCCTCACCCTACCACTTCAGTTACCACTCAGTTAATCCCCATCAGGGGATGAATTCACTGGTTGGGTTAAGGTTCTCACAACCCAACCATTTCTCCTCTGAACCTTCTTGCACTGTCTCACTTCCAAACCAAAACACTCTCTTGGCCCGGAGGGCAGCATGGTTGTCCGACCACCCCTGAGGCATTTGGGGCATTTGGGCTGTTCCCAGTGTAGGGCTGTTACAGACACTGCTTCCTCCCAAGTCCCACGTGCCTCTCTGAGCCGCCATCAGTGAGGCAGGCTCCAGGGTGTACACAGCTGCTGTCAAGAAGTGGCTATGCTGGGTCTTGGGTTGTACCCATCACTGCCATGACCATGTGCTACTCACTGGTTTTCTCCCGTGAAAGGCTAAATCTGTGTTCCCTCCCACCCGCAGCATGGGAGTGTCCTTGCAAGCCCCAAGGCCTGAGCAACCTTTGGTCTCGCTCAGCCTTGACCGTTTGCCCATCCCAAGGGGAGAAACACTACCTGGTCATCATGTGCCTTGCATTCCCTGAGTCAGTGGCGAGGTTGGGAATCCTCCCACAAGTTCACCGGACACTCCCTGTTCCTCTTCCGACAATCTTCTTTACTCCTCTCCTCCCCATCCCAGAGACATATTGTTGGCCTGTTTCCAAGAGAAAGTTGCTAGCGTCGAGGTCAAAGGCATTCTCATTTTGAACAGTCAGCCATTGTCCAGAAGCACGTCACATTGGAGTTGGCCTCGTGGTTGGACTTTGGCTTGCCCTTGCTCCCCAGGTGTTTCCACCCCTTCTGGGGGCCGGGAGTGGTAAAAGCTAGGGGTTATGGTTTGGATATGAGGTGCCCCCCACAAAGCTCCTGTGTCAATGCAGGAATGTTCAGAGGGGATGCCATTACGTTATGAGAGCTATAACCTAATCCATGGATTAATCCATCTGATGAGTTAATAATTTGAAAGGACTGCTGTACTGGGTGGTAACTGTAGGCAGGTGAGGCATGATTGGAGGGGGTGGGTCACTGGGGGCTGTGCCCTTGGGGACGATATCTTGTCCCTCTGGCTTCTCCGTCTGTCTCTCTACTTTCTGGCTGCCACAAAGTGAGCAGCTTTCCTCCACCTCACCCCTCCACCATGACGTTCTTCCTCACTCTCAGGCCCAGAGCAAGGGAGCTGGCTGGCCGGCCATGGACTGAACCTCTGAAAATGTGACCTCAAAACAAACTTTTCCTCCCCTAAGTTGTCACTGTCAGGTGTCTGGTCCACAGTGACTTAAAAGCTGACTAACCCACTGTGCAAATGAAGAAACAGGTGTCTTCTCTCACAAACCAGCTTCCTCTGTTGGCTTCATGTGTCTGCTCCCTCCCCTTCTCCTTCAGGACCTAGACTGCTTGTTCTGATACAAGCCACTATTGCTCTTAACACCCACCATGAGAATTTCTGTCTCCTTGACCTCAGTGTTAGACTCGCCATGGCTTATACCACATGCCACCCTCTTTCTTGGTTTCAGCCATGATGTTTCTGGGGTCCTTCTCTAGGGAGAGCACTCCCAGGAGATATTCTTGGGGTGGGTCTAGTGTCACCAACTGGCCCAGCATTTGTCCTGTCTTCAGCCTCACCTCTTTCTACTCTCCCTCTCTTCCCACCTTCTCCCTCCTTCCCTTCCCTGCTGACTCCAAGTCCAAGACTCTGGCTCTGTCTGGGGTATGGGCGTGGGCTCATCTCCCTGCATCCTCACGGGGGCTTGAGCTGTGACACCTCAGCTGTCTTTCCTTTGTCACTTCTCTGCCCCATTGTCTCCACCTCTCAGCAGGCTTGGCTCTCCTGGCTTCCCCAACCCCTTTCCTTCCCTGGTTTCTGGAACCACCCATTCCTGCCCTTCAGATTGACCTCCTCCCTCTCTGCTGGCTTTTACTTTGTTTGTCCTTGGACCTCCCCTGCCCAACCCCTTTTCCTCCTCCTCATTTGCTGGGGCTCAGCATGGTGGAGGAGGGTTCCCAGGCTCAGCCCAGGGACATTCAGTGCCTCTAAGGGACCTTCCGTGTCTGGATACAAGCCCTCCCCTGAGCTCCACACATGTGCATCAAACTGCCCACTTGGATGCCCCCTGGGGATTTCGGAATTCAGGTGTGCAAACTGGAGCGCTTTGCCCCTCTCAGTGCACTTGCTCCTTCCCCAGATTTCCCCAGCTGCGTCACCATCAGATAGGGCTCCTCTTCCACCTGCTTGCTCAAGCTAAGATGGATGGCAGGATTCCTTCCCTCCTCCCCTTTATTTCTCACCCCCAGATCCAACCTGTCGTAGTCTCTTCTCTACTCCCCAATCCCCATGGCAGCTGGGGAGATCTAGCTCTTGGCAACACCACCAGACCCTGTTCTTCCCCTTGAGGTGTACTCCCCCTGGGTCCCCATCTCCTTAGAGTGAACCCAAGGTCCCCATCCTTGTCAGCGGCCCTGCCCCACCCCTCACAGTTGGCTTTCTCTTAGGGTCCTCCTCCCCTGCCACTGTTCCCGAGCCCCTCTCATCTGATGCCTGCTGAATTGGCCCTTTGGGCTGGCCCCCAGCACACTCAGCTCATCCCTACCTTCAGCCTTTGCCTTCCCTCCTTCCTCTGTGTGCCATGCTCCACCCCACCCCACCCCACCCCAAGAGCTGCCCATGGTGGCAGCCTCCTCTTCTTGAGGTTCTTCCTCCTCCTGGTTCAGCAGATCCTCCCCCTCCTCCCACGGACTTCCTCTGCCTGGCCACACTAGTGGACCTCAGAATCCTCTCTGTTCATGTTCTTACTGGTGGCACTGATTCGCATGTCACCACCAGATAGATGCTTTCAGGTTTCAGGGGCTCCCTCCCCAGATGGCAAGCTGGCACCCCACCAGAAGGGGACTCGCCTATATGTCCTCGTCCATTTGTGCTGCTGTAATACAACACCGGAATCTGGGTAATTTATAAAGAAAAGATATTGATCTCTCAGAGTTCTGGGCCCAGGGCAGTTCCTCTCTGCCTAGGCTGGGGATTGAGATCCCCTTCACAGCACGCGCAGCCCACCACTGGGCTTGCAGTGAGCTTGCAGCCAGCTAAATTCCATTGGCATATTTTCTCCCCATGCTTCCTTCCAGCTGCCGGGATCCCCCGCCCTGTGCGTGTGCCAATGGCTCTCCCAACCCAAGGGGTGGGCTCGCTTTCCTCTTTAGGCAGCATCCTGAGGGGGAAGCTGGCTCCTCTCTCCAGCAATCTGCAAGACGCAGACCCTGTCCGAATCCCCTGCCCCTGCTCTCTCTGCTCTCTGAGCCTGCCAGGCCTGCCCACTGCAGCTGTGGGGTTTGGCGATGCCTCAGGAGTTGACCAGCGTTTATGGGCAGGGCCACAGCTTCCAGGAGAGAGGCCTTCAGATGGTTGCACCTGGTCACGGTGACTTGTGCGCCTGTCTGCAGCTGGGGGACTCCGTGGTTCTGGTTTCCTGAGTGTTATGGGTTCAATTGGGCACCCCCTCACTTCCCGCAAATTCATATGGGGATGTCCTAGCGCCCACTACCTCAGGATGTGACCTTATTGGGAGATAGGGTCGCTGCAGTTGTAACTTGTTAAATTTAGACGAGGTCATACTGGAAGAGGGTGGGCCTCCGCTCCAAGATGACTGATGTCCTTGTGGAAAGGGCCAGTTTGGATACAGAGACAGACACGAACCCAAGGCAGTCTTTGTTACTTGCCAAGTGAATTTTAGAGTGAAGCTGCCTTCAGCCAAGGAATACCTCT